TGACAATAATAGCACTATTGATACTATTGACACTGTTGACAGTATCGACACTATTGACAAAGTTGGCAATAATAGCACTATTAATACTATTGACACTGTTGACAGTATCGACACTATTGACAAAGTTGACAATAATAGCACTATTGATACTGTTAACACAGTTGACAGTATTGCTACTGTTGACATTAGTGACACTATTAACAGTGTTCAGACCGTTGACAATTTTGGCATTGACAAAATTGAAGGCACTCAAGATATTGATGACATTGATGGCATTGAAGACATTGAAGACACCAATTGACGTGGTATTTTATTACATAAATTGTAACAACCATCAGGTTGAGATTTAGAAGAACTCACTTGAGAGCTAAACCACAGTTACGAAAAAAAAAATGAATAATAAGTAAATACGAATAATAACTATACTAATAATAAATACGAATAATAACTGTACTAATAATAAATACGAATAATAACTATACTAATAACAAATATCAATAATAATAATAACGAAAGGTTGACTATAAAGGCAAATACGTACAATAAGTTTGATGCACCGAAGGGGCGAGTGTACCAGTTACGTGTTATGGGTCAAAGGGTGCGTCGAAGGGAAACGAAAGGGTTTCTGGGTGACACGGGAGAGCCGCAGGCAGAAGTAAAGTAGGCGGCATAGGCGCCAATCGGTCACTCGTGCCGACCGTTGGCTAATTACTCCTCATCGACGCTTCTAAGGTTGCCGTCTCTTCTTACGTTGTGTGCATCGTTCTAGTACTCAATTAGAGGTTAACCAATTAACGGAGAGAACGTCTCCGCGAAAGGATTCGGAACAGCTGTGGCGCCAGTTACCCCTAACGCTCGATTTCGTTCGAAACGTCCCTTCGCCAAGGGGCAGAATGTAATTGCGAAATAATGCGATACCTTTAAACACGTACAAGGAAATGGTTTCGAGTAACTGTGGATGACGACCACTTGACAGCATAACGAACTCACCCTTCAAAGTAGCAACACTCTCTCCATTAGTATTCAATTGGAAAATCGCTCACCCCCTCCTCCCCACAGAGCACTTTACAATCGCAGTATAATGTATCAATATTAAATTCAACGTCTATATGTTTCTGAGTTCTCTGTAATTTGATTTAATTGGTCCTTATTCTTTGACCCAAAGTACAGACTACTCAATTTGCAAAAATTCGAGCTATTGTTATTGCATACTATTGTAAAACTGTAGCCTATACAAATTCTTTGTATATTCAATGATAAGAACACACATCATAGCGATAGTTCGTCGCACAGTTGACGTTCTTCTAGAAGCTTCAAGTTAGAGACTGCTCCAATGGCATCTGCGCAATCGATGGAAACCATGCAGGTTGCATGTCACGTTGTGAACTATCCATCTGTTCGAAAATCGTTGGTTCAAGAACTACCCGATTACTCGGTTGAATCGCCATGCATAAACCACGCATGACGTACATCTAATGGAACTTCCTTCAATAATTGAGCCCTATAATTAAAGATATTGACGTCAAATCGACCTCCGCTATTCGCAAATTAATCGTAATCGTAATCTTGACCAAGCAGTTAATACTTAAAAAGCTCCTGCAATTGTTTTCAAACGTAACGAATTCTTGAGACTTGTTAAAGTTAATAAAATTCACGATTTGAAGCAATTTTGCAAAGTTTGTATAAGTGTTACAGTGTTAGGGTTCTATATTAAATCAATGATTTTTCTTATAAAATTTATAAAATTATTAATTAATAAAATTTCTTATCAAATCTTATACATTTATACCAAGTATAGGAAAATGTTAAACTTCGTAAGCTCGTAACAAATATCAGCAGAGTACGGATGATACAAATAAAATATAATAAATAAAATACGCGTTACAACATTTAGAAGATAAAACGTTCTTCAATATAAGTTCGTTCTATATAAAAATACGAAATTTCATGAACACTCGCAATCCAAATGTCACAAGTAGCCCTAAAAATGTATAAAATATTAATTGTAATATTTCGAGATACATTTAACGATTACAAATCTGTAATCGTTAGTTGTCATTGACGATTGCAAGTTACAAATTCTGATCAGTTTCGACGTGCGGTAACCACCTGAAGGTCTATTAAAATAAGCTTAAGGAAAAGAAAAAAAGAGACACAGAGAATGCAATTCTCTCACGAAATCGTACTTTTATGTTTGTCAGAGATAGAGAGAAAAGAAAAAGATTTCCAGATGGAACCGAAGGATTCTCGCGAGCATCCCGATCGGCGCGTGCCGATCCTACTCGAGATACCGTTTCCTCGCCTAATTCGTTCCGGTCCAGCGTGTGTCGTAATTGGTTCGGTCGGTGATTAATCGAGGGTCCGCGTTTCGATGGTCGGTTTCGCGCGCAGACAATTACGGGACGAATGCGCACGAGCGTGCACGTGTGCGGTTACGCAGGGCTCCGCAATTAGTCACGTTGCAAAGACTCGTGCGGGGAGATCTGCTCGCGGATACGGCCTAAGGGGGCCCATGTCGAATTCTTCGCCCCGAAAATTTAGGGGTTCTTTATCGTTTTTCTCTCTTTTGTTACACGAAGAAGTAATTGGATCAGAATGAAAATTAATAGGCACGCAGTTGCACGCACAAATATCGCTCTATGCCATCTTATAAGTCGTTTCACGTATACAGGGTGGGACATTCAAAGGGGAACACTTGGATATTTACGTTTATTTAAGTAAATGTAGGATTCTATGAAAACAAAATTTGTAAGGGGACATTGTCGTACGCGTGAAAGAAAAAAAAGATACTTTATTTGCGGGAAATAGATGTAGGAGGTCAATGTTTTTCAGAAATAATAGTAGACATACGAAGCTAGCAAGAAAACATTCTTTTGTTTATTTCGAGTAATTTTTGTCATTGATAGTAGTCACTTTTGAACAAGAACAAGCGGTTTATTCGAGATAGCATTTCATCTAGCCATTTTTATTTTTTAAATACCTCTTCTGTGAAAAAAGCAACTATCGATAGTGCTATCGAGTCAATCGCGAACCGTGGCATGAAAGAAACCTGCAAACCGAACGCGGGACCTTTAATAGTAGCCTTCCGTTCCGGGAAATACGCGAAGAAAGAATAGAAAAGAGTTTATCGTTTTCCCAGCTATTTCGTTTCGTAAACGCTCCAAGGAGATCCGCGTGGTCGCGAACGGTTGTCATCCTCGTCGTCCTTGGGCGGCCAGTAGCGATTCTTCGTACCAATCGATGATTCGATCGACGGAAATGCGTTTGCCTAGTTAACATGCAACCGGGTACGCGCGATCCTGTTAGTTTCGCGGGTGCGTCATCGTCGACGCGTCGTTGACTCAGGCCAGATAAACGTGAGGAATTAATTTGGAATTGTCGGAATTGGAATTTGAGATTCAGGGACGCCATTGCGACGACTATTTCACGGTGGTCAAACGGGGGAAATTAATTGACGGTCGATCTTTGTCTCCCTTGTGACTCTAGAGGGTGTATCACTTCGTGAGATTTCTATTTTCTTCGCCTGGTTAGCGTTATCATTCGTAAATCGCAAAGAAAAGGTATTTGGCAGAATTTTTAACCAATTTTAAAATATAGAATATGAGAAGATTAAGTAGTCTTGAAGGGAGAGTCGTCTTTTCTTGGGGAACGTTTGGAATTAATTTAAAGAAAGACTATTATATATATAAATGTGCAATATACACTATGTGTTTATTCAGATTTTCTGTATATGCATGAATTTTTATGGAATTGTAGAATGTATAATGTTTACAATATTTATTATTTAAAAATAACATTTG